AGTCCGGAGCGGAATTAAAAACACGACATTCATTTAAGGTTATCGCGTGTTTTGTGAGCAAATGCTTTTGCATATTCGTAGTGTTTCCTCCCTTAAATGAAATATCTACTTTGCAAGTATTGCAAGTTGCCCTGTTGTCATCCGTTCTCGTAAAGTATGACCAAACTTCTGAGCATTAGGCGCCATGTTTCCTGCCAGGTAAATGATGCAACGTGGTGACGTCATTCAGGGCGACTGGAATCGATAAGGGAATCGTTTGCAAAAATGGCAAACAATGCCAAGGAATTGAAACAGTGGGAACCGGTTCTCAACAAAAACTGGGTTTCGATACCCATCCCTATCCATAACTCGAAATTTCGACTTATTTTCTCAGAAATTCGACTTATTAACTTGAAATTTTGAGAAAATTAACTCGAAATTTCGAGTTAGCTCTGCCCATCAGTAAGCTACGTGGAATGCGCACTCAAAGCCGGATCTCAACAAATTGGCACTTTCGAGAGTACGTTTGCTGATAGTAACACCATGTGATTCAGCTAATAACACAAGGATTTCATCATTTGTGAAGCCACACTGAAAATAATCAGCAATTTGTGCATTCATGACTGGCTGTAATACTTGTAGCTTAGCTGTAGCATTTGTAGCTGAGGGCTTCCGGGTAACAAAGAAATTACGTAATTCATGTAGATTACTGATTGGCAGCGCTAACTCAAAATTTTGAGAAAAGTAAGTCAACATTTCAAGCTACTTTTCCGAAATTTTGAGTTAATAAGACAAAATTTCGAGTTAATAAGTCGAAATTTCGAGTTAATAAGTCTATTTCTCAAAATTTCGAGTTATGGATCCTTTTTTTTTCTGTGTGGTGGAAACGGGCTTCCATAAAGAGGTGAAACATCATCACGAAAATTAAAGAAGTCCAGTCACTTTCTTTCTAAACTCCATAGACTACTATGACTTGAATGACTAAGAACCTACACAGACAGACTATAAACTATGCTCGAGGTCTATCTCACACAGTAGTCCCGCTTGCGCTTTTGTTAATCAGAGGCAGCCAATCAGAAGAATGTTTGCTTAAAGTGCTAAAAAAAACCCAGCTTATTTCAGACAGTGGATAAGATGTGTGCACCAAAACCTCAGGATAGGGATTATTGTGTAAATGATGAAAAAAATCCTCTCGTACAGTCCAAGAATCAAATGATGGAGGTGAAAATGAGAATAATAGGCTGTGTTTTATGTTATGACTGATCAGTCTGTGTAGATTTGGATGTTAGCAATTATCCTGAGGGTTACAGACAGTACAAAAGTGACTTCTTTTCCTTCTCTGTCTTTATTTTTTGCAAAGTTAACCACTGAAGTGTAGCTCGGAGTCGCCTAGTTTACTGGCTACACCACATCAAAAACTTTCTTGACATCTCTTGACAGGTTTCATTGCTTGTCTTCAGTCCCCCTGCCTCCAAAATGTGGCGTAAGGGTGATTCATATCTGGCAGGCCCTTAGACACCATGTTAGGTGAAAGTGACGAATTATTATGTCTTTGCCTTTGTGGTGGGTGGAGTGATTGCTCTAAATGTTGCTCCTTTATGTTACACTCAAAAGAGATGCAGCAATAGCTATTCCTGCTGGCAGGCTGAATTATTTAATGTGGTGAACCACAATGAGGCAAGCTCCATCTTCCTTTATGAAGAGAAAACTAGAATTTTGTGCTTTAATCTTAACATCGTCTTCTGTGATTAGCATGCAAAATACCGCAGGAAGTCTGAGGATCTCGCCACCAGATAATGAACTTTGTACTTTGTTGATGACTAGCTTACTGACAACCCATTGACTAAGAGTCCCACAGCTGGACCACATTCAAGTTCAAAGTGAAACTGGTGACAAGTCAAAATTGCTGCCAGGGTTCCTGTGAGTGCATGTACATCATCACCCTCTTAATATGCACAGAGCACTCTACAGAACAAAATACACTCTGTGCACCCTATTTAGGTTGTAACAGTCACTAACATTTAACTGATAACAAGAAAGCTTATTTACACAGCAGCCAGTAATTTATTAATATTTTCTTTTCCCCTTCTTATTTATCCGAAGTTGTCACAACTTCTTCTGTTCCAGTGGAGATAACCTGTACCAAGAAGGTTTCTACACATAAAATTATATTTGTTATGATTACCTTTTAGCTTTTACTCTAAAAAAAAGCGGAGAGGGGCTTTTGCGGGGCCACCAGTCTTCTTTTCTCAACACCATGCACGTCACAAACACCCAGCAAACTTGACTGTACAGTCTAAATCCTGCTTGCTCTCCGAGTCAGTCTTGTCCTCCAAACACATTCCAACACATTCCCATGACCTGGCTGAGTTCATGAGGAACATAAGCACATGATGATGGTGATGATTAAGAAAATCATGAAGAAATCTTCAAATTTATTGACGTAGGTCAGGGCACTTGGCAGAGGTCAGTTTGGGCCTTATTTGGATGCACGGTCTTGGTGAACCCGGTGCACTCTGTGGATGTGGTACAGTAGCACGACTGGATTCTAAGCAGAAGGAAAACTGGAGCAGACCCGCAATCCGTCCTGCCTCACTTACAATGCCAGCACAGGAAATCCTCCTTTTGATTGCTAAATGAAGGCGCAAGATTGAGAACAATAACTGTGCGTCCACTGTGTAGTGCCTTGCACTTGAGCTCTATGCCATGGAGCCACGGGCATGGGCAAACTGATAGAGACAGACAAACATATGCACTGCATTTCAAATTAATACACAGCACTTTTTTGTTTCAGTCTGCAAGGCCAAACCTCCAGAAATGTGATCAGTCCAGCACTCTGATCCTTCCAGCGAGCATAAGTTAAGAGACACCCTATCATTTGTCCTACACTGCAGACAACCACAGGGGTTATAAGACCTTTCTTGGCGCATTACTTTTTGCTCAACACAACATTTTATCTCTTCATCATAAACAATCGTGTTTACCCCTTAACTATCAGCACAGTTGCAAAGTATCTGAATGAGTGTGACACTGTTGTCCATAGCTTCACGGCAAACCACTTACAGCTGCATCAGTACATTTAAATTAAAGATTTTCATACATAGTTTGCTTGTAATTTAATAATCCAGCTGTGTTAAAAAATATCTTCTTCTTCCAGTCCAGGTGGTTCCTGCATCATCCTCTAGGACTTTGCACTTCACTAGTTCCCCCCACTGATTAGCACTGCTTTATTAGCCTCAGCTGCAAAACTGATAATACAGTTGCACAAATCAAAAATATATCACAGGTTGTTAGCGCTTTCTTCAATCTGGCGTACTTGATAAAATGCATGGGCTGGGTTTTTTGGTTTTGGTTTTGGGCTTTTTTTGTGGCATGTGTGATGAACTTCGATTCATCCAGCTTGGACAGTAATACCTTGTAATGTTCCTCTTCTAATGGCCTCACTCAGTGGACGGAACCGAAAGCCCAGTTTTCAAAGGGTATTCTCTAATAAACACATGAACGCCTTTGGCATGTGTTTTAAATTAAATTGCCTTCCAACACATGTAAGAGCCATTAAACATAGTGGTCTTACAGCCACATTCTCTCATTTACATTGTGTTTTTGTGATATAAACCAGGTTTTCCCCTCAAAAAATATTACTTGTAATTTTGGCTTTAGCTCACCGGTCCCGTTGGATTTAGCTGTTAGTCCTCCCAGAACAACTACAGTCATTTTTTTAAGTCTCCATTTCTTTTTATTTCTCTTGTTGTTCCTTGCACACATGAGGCCACCATGTCTGGGATCCAGAACGACCATCTCAGGAGTTACTCAGAGTTGCAGCCAAAAATCAGGCGAAAAATAAGGCTAGGGGATGCAGGTGGGGGTTGTGGGTATCCAGAGTGGTGTAGTAGGATTCAGAAAGAAAGTTTCCAACTGCAGTACCTCATCAGTATGAAAACGATTTGAATTTTCTCCTCATCAAACTTATAAAGTTTCCCTTTCACTGTGGATTCGGCTAGAGCGGCTTTGTGCACGTTTCATTTAATTTCTGCAACCTGGGGCGGATGTGTATACCAGGGACGGATTCCATTTTTGCTTTATGGGTCACAGATGATGGAAGTGTTTAAGAGTGTTTGTCCAATAAATGAGCTATTTGTTTAGAAATGCTATTAGAAGCAATGTGCTTTAAAAAAAAAATGGCTGCATGCCCATATTTCTAGTTAGTGTCACATGTGTTTGTGATAGAAGATAACTTCTTGCTTTTTCTGATGTGTGCTCCAGGTGTGTATCTACCACCTGGTGCTGGGTTAGGACCAGGAGGCATTGGAACAGGAACTGGATTCTTTCCAGGTAAAAGAGCATCCACCGAGTGTCTGCACAATTTAAAAACAAAAAAACATCCAGAACGCAGCCACTATAAACAAAGTCTGCTTCTCTTTAGAAAAAGTATGAGAGGTAAATTGAACTACCGTGGAGCAGAAGTTTAACTAAAAGAAATAGTAGTATAAGAATCACTGCAATGTGAACATGCAATTGACTCGAAAAAAAAAAAAACACTTGCAGTATTATGTGCAAAAGAATATAAGAAACATAGCACTCTACAGTGCTTTGTCATTAAACTTCAAAGCTGAGTTGATAGTTAAGTCTTGGCACTGATGATTCAAATGACTGAAAGTGGCTCACAGAGATTTAACGTTCTTATTTATAACTGAAACCTAAGGGGCCTGTTTCTGTCAAAAGCATAAACTGGAAAGTCTGAAACTGTCTGAGTAAATATTTAACCCAAAAAGTCTTTCAAGGGTGAAAATGTGCATGTTTGTGACATGTAATCATCCTTTACTCTTGTTGTATGTACTCAAAAATATACACTCATGTGAAAAAGAAAGTTTTCACATGACTTCATGCAGTCCTGTCAAAGCACACTCTTACTGCCTCCAGAAGAATTAATAAGGTAAGGAGGAGCCAGGTGCTGCTAATCAAATGCATATAATTAACCGCTCATCAGGAAGTGTGACCATTTCCAAAGGTTGCCTGAAGAAAGCGTCTTCTCTCTAAAATAAACATGACAGCATGGCTTAGGCTTGCAAAGCTGCATTTGAACAAACCACAAGATTTCAGGAACAATTTCCTTCGAGCCAAAGTAGAAATGCTTGGCCTTAACGCACAGCATTGTGTCTGCTGAAAACCAAACACAGCATATCAAACACATCATACCACCGTGGTGCAGGTGGGATGATTTCGGTTTATTTTGTAGCCACAGGACTTGGGCACCTTGAAGTCACAGAGTCGACCCTGAACTCTTCTGTCTCAAAGTATTCTAGAGTCAGATGTGGGGCCATCTGTCAAACAGCTAAAGCTTAGCTCAAACTGGGTCATGCAACAGGACAGTGATCCCAAAACATTTACAACAGAACGGTTGAAAAAAGAAAAAAATTAAGGTGCTGCAATGACCCAGTCAAAATCCAGACCTCAACCTGACTGAAATGCTGTGGTGGAACCTTAATAGAGCCGCGCATAAACAAATGACTGCAAACTTCAGTGAACTGAAGCAACCTTGTACAGGAGAGTGAGCCAAAATTCCTCTGCAACGATGTGAGGGGCTGATAAAGTCACACTGAAAATGATTACTTCAAGTTATTGCTGCTAAAGTTGGTTCTATAAGCTATCGAATCATGGGGCATACTCGATTTTTCACCAGACTGCATGGAGTCCTGTGCAAAACTTGACTGCATACAATCAATGTATGAGCACATGCATTCAGTGGTTTATAGCATATACCTCAATGTATGCATGTGCAGCATTGTCATTTCTGGAAAAGGAACATAGATTTTGAACCTCACAAGCGAACTTATGTGACCGTGCTTCATCGTGATATAAAAACTTATATGCAAGTATGTAGTAACCCTCAGAAGATGCCACAAGACACTCCTGGTGTCCTGACAGAACTTATGACACAAGTCAGCTGGCATGATGATAAACTGTCCATTACCTTACTACATGTAGGCAAACCATAAATCAATAGTTGTATGACTGTTATTTTACTAGGGGCTGCTGGAGGGTTCCCAGCGGGCTATAAACCAGCTAAAGCTGCAGGTGAGTAGAAGAGATTTTTTGATTTATGACTCCCCCCCCCCCAAAAAAATAAATAAAAATAACTTCTCAAGAATTGCATCTGGTTTATCATGAACCAGAGCATTCATGTCTCTGTCTGTGATGGACAAATTAAACAAAATTATATCATAAAAGTCTACTTCAAATATGTATATTGGAAGAATTGTTTTTTAGCCTCATGGAGCTGTGCATGGATCAAGGTGATTTTATGATGAATTCAGCTTGGTTTAACTCATTGCCTTCCAGCTACTGATTAATATTTATACATTTTTAATAAGCTTCAGCATCATCTAGGCCGCTCTTTGAAGAGAGTCTTTCATTCGGCTCAGCCTAAATCATAGATATTTTCCATGTAAGTTTCTTTAAATCGAGAAAGTAGTGTCATTGCAGGCACAGGTATTCAGTCTGGTGATTGTCATTTCACACATCAGCAGCAGATACTCACACACACAATTTTAGCAGCAGCTTTACACACCCTGTGTAGTACCCTGACAGGGCTTCGGCTCCCATTTGCTGAACAAGTTTGACCTTGTGCACCTTTTTCTTTCTTTTTTTTTGCTATATTTTATGCTAATGCTATTTGAGGTCTATGCGCACATTAAGTTTACGACAATAAGCATGCAACAGTGTAACATTAGTTCCATAAGAAACAGTCCTTGTCCTTGAGACAAATTTCCCTGTCAGCGCTCGGATTTGGTTCGGCCCGATCAGGGGAAACAACTGGTGAGACTTCCTTGTCACGCCACCACAAGCTAAGATTAATTAAATCCAAGGGATATTGCTGAGGCAGTAAAACAATGTGTTTGAGGGCTGACCGCTTTTAATAAGCCTTTTTGCTGGAAGGCATTATGAGTTTTCTCTTATATGCGCGCAGTGGTCTTTAACAATGATTACCGTGATAATTATCAGCCATCTCCAAATGGTAACGATGAGGACAAAATGACGACATGACACGAGATCGCTACAGAAACAAACACAGCAGTGCGACCGTGATCAGCCTATCATTAATGTTGTCATCACTTTTATCATCATCTGCTGTTTCTGTCAGGAGGTTATGCAGGAGGAGGTGGAGGCCGAGGCCTGTTCGTGCCAGGGGCAGGTGGCCAGGTCATTGCAGGATTGCCAGCAGGTATGAAGCAACTGCGCTTAATTGATTTAGCTGTCGACCAGCAATGCGCCTGCCTTTAGGAGCCGCTGTCATTACACATAATCAGGCAAAGCATTTCGGCATCTTAAGTCATAGCTGTCCGTTTGTGTTAAAACAGTTTAACAAATTATGTCACAATCAGATAATCACACAGTCCTCGCATATTATGTTTGCTTTGACTTCAGCAGGACAAGGTGGAAAGGCCCCTAAACCAGGTAAGCTGGAACATTTTTTTTAGTGTTATTGTGTTTTTTTATTCTATCATTTTATTGATATTAAAACAGACTCTGATTTTTACATGGAGCTAACACCAATCTACATTTTCACAAAATATTTTGAACCCACTATTTTTGCTCGGTTTCCACATGATGCAGTTTTGCAATAATAAGGAGATTTTACACCATGTTGGATGGTCTTGAAAGGAAGGAAATCTAATCACTCTATGGTCTGCATTACCTTTACCCACCCAGTCCTTAAAGAGACAGTCTATTCATCGGGTGTCAGCAGGTTGTCCTTATCAGCCCTGGGGTTTTTTGCGGTGGTGGGGTTGGCATCTCTCTGGGGAATCCTGACTGGGTGGGATCATACATACAGATTTCTCTACCTCTGCTACATGAAAAGGATTAAGGAGTGATGATTGGCAGAGTGCAAACAGCTATCAAGGCCTGCCAAGCAGTGGTGCCAGAGCACTGATTAATGTTATTGTAAAGCTGGACCCTCACAATATCTGGAAACCTCCGTGTTGAAATTCACCACAGCCCTTCTCTCCGATACTGTACAATAAATATTTTCCTTTGCTGTATTTTAGTCTGCACCGCATTGGTGCTCTAGTAAATTTAGCCATCATTTAATTTCCCCCAAGCACCGCTGATACAATCGCAGCCTACCTCTCTGTGTTTAGAAAGATAAGGGACCAAGCAATGGTTCTATAGTCCTGATAACACATGGAGCGGGGTCCCTCTGGAGTGCCACACCCTCACCCTCCAACCAGAGAGGCTGGAAAGCACTTTTGTGAAAATGACCTAATATCCAGCATTTGGTGGAAGTTGACTTTGGCCGGGCGCAGCAGAGCATTACTGGAGAAATATTGCGCTTTTGTGTGCATTTAAGACCCCTCTCTTCCTCACCGTGTACACGGCAGGAATTAAATTGGTGAGAAAAAGGGAAGTGAGAAATGTTTTAAAAAGCTCCTTGCGTGTTTGTTTTAGATCAGTGCTCCGCTCTGAATCCATACTAATCTTTGTTGTATGGAAAATACTCACAGTGCATTACTGGGGTTTAGCTAAGACGCTTTTTTTTTTTAAATGGAAAAGAAGACTTAAAGTCTCAGGGGAGCAGTAATATGTTCCGCTTCATGGCTGTTCACAAAGCTTTGAATGTTGGTTTCCATCAGAGCTGCTTTCCTTTCCATCAGAGGAATATTGCCTGAAGCCTTACAAGCATGAAGCCTCCATTAATACACAAATGTATATCTACAGTTCACCTGTAAGTAAGACTCACACAGCGGCAGGTAGAATCCATCCCATTGGTCAGTGTCTGCAGGCTTGTGCTGCAGAGAGAACATGCAACTGTCACGTGAAAATTCACTGACATGTTTTTAGTTTTTCATTAATCTTCAATATTAAGAGCAAGGATTGTCTTTCTAAGGACACACAAATGCAAACACTGGTCAGCTAATCTCAGATGCATGCTCACATAACAGGAGCTGCCAGTCATTCTTCTGATGAAGTCAAGCAGTGACATTGCATTCCTCAGATATGCACCTTGCCTTTGCAGTAATGGAGAACAGCAGCTGGCTATGTGAGTAGCGTGACTGCAGTGAATTGCAGCGTAACTCATGCAAGACCTTGTAAATGTTACACTAATTGTGAAGTCTGTCAGCATCCAGCTCTGACAATACAATGAAAGGTGGAAGGAGGAACTTTCTCCTTATGAACAGCTGTTGGACCCCTTTTCTTGTGCTGCCTCAAGCGAAGGTGGAATCAATACTCATAGCGTTATTGCTGAAACTTGGCTTTCGCCGACCAGCCTCTTGTCACTTTCAGGCAACGTGAACGCAGTTAACGAGAAACATAGAGGTTACTGTTTTCGCTGTTGGTGTAATTTCTTTGTACGATTACAATGGTCTGTTTTAGCTTGAGAAAAGATGTGTCTGTGTGGGAGAGCTGCAATGTGTTTACACTCAGCCTACCAGTGGACTCTCCAAGAGTAATAAACACTGAAGATCATAGACAACATGTTGTCTGTCTTCGTTTTCTAACGCTGTCAGAAGCTGACAAGAGCGAGCCTCGGCCTTTGAGCAATGAAAACGTATATGAGCCATCGGGATCTGTAAGCAATTTAACAGACTATAGATCTCATACAGTAGATGGATGAAATACTGCTCGTGTATAGTTTGTCTGTCGAAAGCATCAGTGGCAGTCGGGCTTTTATTAGTTTCTAGGCTCATAATGTTATAAAATAGGTATGTGTGAGCAAATAGCAATGACTAAAGGAAAAAACTAATGGCTGGCTGGCAGCAAGTCGCAAATCTGAAGAAATTAACATCTCAGGAGAAGACAAGAAGGCATCAGGTGTCACTTCTTTGTAAGAAAGTCCAACACTGGCTTTTAGGAAAGCTGTCCCTGAACAGTCTCTGTGCTATTCAGGACAGCTGAGTACACTGAGTTTCTGAGTAAGCTCTGCCAACTGCCATCCAACCAGAAAGAAAGACGGAAATTGATATTGTGAGCCTGGTAATGTAAGCCCACTGTTCGGCTTAACCTTGTGATGCAACTGCAGTGTAGTACAACTCAGCATTACAACCTGAAGTCTCCAAAAAGTCTTTGCGAAGGCACAGCGGGATTTGTTGCAGAGCCGTTTATGAATAGATAAACGTACTGGAAAAAACTGGCAGCTGAGTGTAAAGAGTCTCGCCTTTTCTGCGGCTCTTCCACTGAAACATGATGATGAAAAGTATTGGAAAATGTAGTCAAAAATCCTCCTCGGAAAATTTGAGATACATGTAACATTTTGGTCCACACAGAAACATGTCTCTGAGTTGTTTTGGCAGTCATATGGACCTGCGTGGCGGCAGGCCAGCAGAGAGTTGTGGCTGCTGATTGCAGAAAATACATGCAGGTGGTGGGCTTGAGTGTTCGCAGCACTTTAGACTGTTTGTGAAAATCTGAAATAAATGAAGATATTCACTTTAATACCATGACTGGGAAAAAAAAAAGCCCCTGTAATTTGTAAGAAAACAGTTATTTCAACACACGCACTTCTTCTTCTTTTTTCACGTAAAAACTCAGAATTTCTTTTTTCAGTTAATCTTTCTAGGATTTAAAAAGCACGGCCCAGACAAACACCTGCTTTTCTTTTCCTGCTCATCTTCTGGTTCATATCGCGGTCATTGTTTGAAGACGCACCAAGTGAACTTGTCTTCTTCAAAAGCAGGAAAGGCAGAGAAATTGAAGCGTGCAGTGGACACGGGGAGGACAGACGAGAGACAGGCTAAAGCAAGGAGAACGGAAAGGACCGATAACTCACGCGGACATGCCATATATATGTCATATGTGTACACCACCACTCACCGCCGCGCAGAGAATTATATGCGCATTCATTCGCATAGCACACATACCGAGAGAGCTCTGTGAGAGAAAGGAGACTGATAGATTGAGGTGAGGATTAAAGTGTTTAGCCAAAAGAAGATGAGCTCTGAGGAGGTTTAGTCTCCTGGAGCACATGTGTTTTTCATTACCGCAGCTCAGACCTGTCCTCTGAGCTGTCAGAGACTGGAAGCATCTGCATGTGAATATGCATGACTATGATTGTATGTAAATATGTTTATCATCTTCATATGTGCGCAATTACGAGAGCGACCGCATGTGTGCGCGCCGACACAAACACACACACAAATACCGAATATGTATTCTGACATCAGTTTGGAGGCATTCGGCATGCCTTTCAGCACATAATAGACACACTTGTCTATGCAGGAAAAATGTGAATTATGGACTTTTCTCTATTCTTACTCAACTATCTTTCCTCTTAGTCCATTTAATCTGCCCTCCACCGGCTCTCTGCGTCAAGCATTCAAGATCTTGGAAAATAAACTGTCTGCAGCGGAAACTTTCTGATATCACCCCCACACTGGACTCAGCCCACCCAATATGCACACAGCCAACACGGCTTATTTGTTCGCATTGCAAGTGCCTGTTGTCTCCCAAACAATTTTTCTTGGATTACGTCACCAGTTGTTGATGTTCCATTTTCTGTGTCCTCGCGAATTCATCTTGAGAATTACATTTATATTGGATTAAAGCTTGATAAGAAGCTCTTTATTAGTTTTCATTGGTGCCTAATCTGTCAGGCGTTCCACACATCACTGTTTCTAACTGTGGTATTTCCCCGCATGCAATTATAAAGTACTTTTTCTCTGCTTTAGTAATATCTCCTCAGGCCCTCACTGGCCAGTTTTGTATTTTGTTTGCACGGTTATTTTCCTGGGAACGTTACTACCGATGCATCTTGTCCATCTCCGCTTTGTTGGTTGAGCAACTGTCCCATGACGATACTTCTCACAACCTTATCTGACGCTCCCTTTGCCAGCAGGTCGGCAACGTGCAACTGTACTTGTCCATCCGGCTGCACAGACAAAGCGTTATTTATGTAGTGATAGAGAAGCTTATGACGACAGAGTGAAGTCTGTGAGAGGCGAGGGCCTGTTTTGTAGATTTGTTTAAGAGTAAGCATTTACAGCGCTGTTGGGTTTGAAGAATTTAAAGAGCCATTAAGAGGAGATTATTTGTGTGGAAAGTTTACTGTATGCATTCCAGTCTTGGTGGGTATAAAGGATCATGCATCACACGGCATCGTCAAAAGAGTGGCGGGTGATTGATACATACACAGCTCACGTCTATGCTCAGGTCTGATGCAGGGCCTTAAAAATGTTGTGACGCAACATGTGTCATTTTAAAAAGGTCACTGTAAAAGTGTTCTGG